TGTGTGTGTGTGTGTGTGTGTGTGTGTGTGTGTGTGTGTGTGTGTGTTACCTGTGCCATCACACTAAAGGGTGAATTACAGTGACAGAGGTTTGTCTGGTATCAGCCTCGCTGTTGTTGTATGATACCGTTTGTTTGGCTGATTTAGTCTTCATGATGTTGTGTGTCCTGTCAGAGCAGAGCTGGAAGTTTTAACGGATGAGGCTGCCGTTATTCTTTCTTTTTAATTATTGCCAACAAATCCCACTTAAAGACCAAAACCAGCAATGTGTTACGTTTCCTACCCCGTCTGCGGCTCTCAGCCCCAAGCCCATTGGTTCCTACTGCAGACGCAAATCTTTATTTATTCACAAATAGTTTCATTTTTAAAAATGTCTCAACACTCACTACAGCAGAAAACTTCTCTAACGACTGCTGAACTCTTTACTGTATATTGCAATGGCAAAATATGGAAATAAAAGTTTTTAAATTGATTTTGCTATCATATGAATGTGTTTTCTCACTGTGGAGAAAGTCATCAGTATACAATAGGTACAAATAGAAGAGAAATCACATTACAAGATAATTGATAGACATTTAAACCGCTGAAGAGCTAATCTGTTTGTTTCATGTTGTTAGGCAGGTTATGTCCTTTGCGTGGACACGATGAGACTGTTTTATTGAAGGCATTAGATGCCTGAGGAGGAAGAGAAGTGTCCAGTAAAGCCTGAATAAGTTTCCTTTCTTATCCCTTTAGTTATCTGGTGATCCCCTCAGGCTCCCACACAGATATACACAGATAATACTCGTTAGTAGGATCAATTCATTGTTGGTTTTGTTTTTTATGGTAAACAATCCGAATATATTTCAGACATTTAGAAACCTCCAGCTAAGAGATTAAAGTAAGGAAGTGTGCAGTGAGACAATGGTTCCACTTCAGTTATAAGAAGCTGTAACAATAACTCTTATAATTGTCTCTTACAGATCATGTATTTCATGTTATCGTGCGCTCATAAGCCGCCTGTTCTTGGTCATTGTTTGAGTCGCTGATTTAAAAACCGCTCTGACCGTTACTCATTGGTATCCATGATGGTGTAATCCTCAGCTCAACAGCTCAACATAGTCCTGTTTTAAAGGGTTATTATTGCAGCCAACACCTTGTAGGACAAACAAGGGTGCAGAATCCTGGCACCCAACTACTCATCATGTCATCACTTCTTACACAATAACTGGTCAAGTGTTTAAAGGGGAGACTGCCAAATAGTTCATCGATCCTTCCCTCTGTACTTCTTCCTCCCTGACCTTCCTTTTCAGTCATTTCCTTCTATCCCCTCACCTCCCTCCTTCTATCCATGTATTAATGTATTACCTCATCTTCTCCTCTTCCTCTCGTCTATCTTTTTATTCAGTTTCCTATGAATTGACCCGACTCTGACGGGAAATCAGAAGACTACCCTTTAAAAACAAAACAGGACATTGACAGTCTCCCCAAATAAACGATTTTGTTCAAGTTTATTCTGTTAAAACACTCAAACCTCCTCCTTAAAGCTCACTTGTGTGTGTGTGTCTGTGTGAGAGATGACTGCAGCACCGTGTGTGTCTCGTAGTAACTCCCTCTCTCCTCCATGTGACTGCAGGTTCCTGAGGGCTGCAGGGTGGCCGGGCAATTTGATTGGCTGGTGGAGGGCTCGCGCTGATTGCTGATTAGTGGTGGTGGTGGTGGTGGTAGAGAGTAATGAGGGGCAAGAGAGAGAGGCAGTGATGGAAAGGGAGATTAAGTGGAGGCAGGTTTGCATGTCTGCATGCTCACATGTCAATAATCGGCAAAGCTTTCTGTGTTAATAGAGGAAGAAGGGAGGGTCGTAAGTAGAAGAGTAGATTAATCCAAAGAAGAGACGCTAGTATCGTTTCCATTAGAGAAGTCCCTCCCTGACCTGCAAGAGTTTCTAAACTTTTTCTTCAAGCTGTAAAAGCTTGACATTTAGTTGAAATACAACACAAGCTGCAACGTGCTGCTTTCTGGTCTTTAAGGGTCTTAAACGATGGAGCTTCTGTGACGGCTACACACGTTTGGGGGCAAATACATTCACATCAGGGGGACGGGCTGCTGGTGTTCTGCTCTGTGTGGGCTCAAACATTAACGTATGTATTGCCTTGTTTTTACTTATGACAGCACCTGCTGTGACCTCACTAATTGGGGAGTGGCTAATGGTACTTGTCCTCTATGGATTTATTGTTTAAATGAGAACAGAAGCATCTTCCTGCCTCACACATTCATTGTCTGCTTCGTGCTTTATCAGGATAGCTTTCCTTTTTCATAAATTAAATGAGTCTTCTGTAGAAGCTGTCAAAGTTTTGGAGGGAAAGCTTCTTTTGGTAGCATGTTTGTCATTTTTCACTCAAATCAATAGGCTCCACAAACCATAAATTAGCATTTTGACCCCCCAAAAAACTTCTTATCACAAAAGATGACATTGCAACTGAGCTTACCCTTCTGCCGATGAAGGCTCTGAGATGTGTCTGAAAGCTTTGGAAACACCAAAGTAGGTCACTTTTGTGATGAGCTATTTTTTTTTTTAAAGTCAAACAGCTATTTCCAACATTAAGAATGGACCCTCAAACTCAAGATAGAACGTTTCAATATTCTCAATTGATTTGAAGTTCAGACTGTCAGGGTTTAGCATTTTTTTTTTTTTTGCCTTACATTATTATTTGCTGCCACTAACGATGTCAGTGCTGCACTCATTAATGTCGTCATCATCATCATCATCTGTGCTCTGTTGGTGATGCCTGTCTGCCTGCCTGAGCCACTCTGCTCCTCATGCCTGCCTTCACTCTCATACAGTCGCATGTGTCCCAAACATGATCGGGCGTTTTTATCTGTGCCTTTAACTGCAACTTTGTGTGTGTGTGTGTGTGTGTGTGTGTGTGTGTGCGCGCGTGCGTGCGCGCTGGCTGGGTCGTGTGTTGAATGCTGCGTCATCCTCGTATTTTAATGGAAGCATGAGTATGATTTATGTTTGTGCGTTTATTGTTACTCATGAGACAGACAGAAGGACTATCAGGTGAAATACAGGACCCCTCTACCCCTCTCTTTCTTTCTTTTTTCCCACATTTCCTCTCTTTTCTACCCGAGTTGTAACACCACCAGTTGACCAGCAGGTGGGAGCCTTCCCTCACCAAAGCACAGCTCCGCTCGAGCCGGACTGCGCCGCTTTTAAATCACACCAAAACACGAGGAGGAGCTCCGGTGTCTTTGGAGTCAGACTCTGCCTTAAAACCCCTTGTTGTTTTACTGTGGAGGGATTATTCCACACAGGATGTCTGCCCTTCTGCCTGACTACATCTCCCATCAGCCACCTGCGCTCAGCCTCTCCTCCCTGGGGACTCAAGTGCATCTCCATTTAAAAAAAAAAAAAAATAATAAATAAAATAAAAAAAGTTTTTTTTTTTTTTCAATTTGTTTTTTGTGAATGTGATGACACACGTGTATCAACATGTATGCATGTTTACGGAAGTCAAAACGGGCCTGTTTGGCTCTCCATACCCACTAATATGTAAACCTGTGTACATGCGTGACGTTGGTTTCTACCGTTGAATGATTTGTACATATTAACATCTTTTAATGTCATGCTGAATGTGTTTCCATGCTGATTGTTTTTAGGTTTGTTTGATTGACACTCTTCACGAGAGACAACACGGTTTGAACTGAACTGATGCACTTTGTCCTGAAAGTACCACAGCGTTTGAATCTGATGAAATGAGCGCGTTAGAGTGAACAGATGAATGAGGCTCAGTGTTGAGGTGTGAACTTTATGAATGACCACTGTGTAGCAGCGAGAACTCTTTCTCTCCCTGATGGTTTTTATACTCCTTTTGTAACTCTTGGCGAGCAGTGACCAACATCTGTTATGCATGATTTTTCTAGATTCTTTGAACATTGGTCTCTCTTGGTGGTCGTTGTTTTTTTTTTGTTTTTTTTAACCCTTCACTGTATTTTTTTTTTCAAGAGACTAACAAAACTGCACACCTGAAGTAAAGTTTGACTTCCTTTTGATGCTATTTAAGACAAGAATGCCACCAATGATTCGCTGCTCGTAGATCTAAACACTTGTAGTCTGTTTCTTCGATGAAGCTGTGAAATGTACAGAATGATTCCGTCGGTGTTGTTACTTGAACTATGGTCACGCGTCTCCACATTTTGCTCTCAGACCTGTGATCGTTTTGCATCGTACAAATAATTAAACATTGTGAGAAATTTGCCTTTTTTCACATGTTGTACGGATTAAACAAAGGAGCCTGTTTCCAGTTGTTATGCTAAGCTAAGCTAACCGGTACAGTACAGACATGAGTGGTGTTGATGCCTTCTGTCTTTTCTACACATCTGGTTGCATGGTTAGCTGCAGCTGCTAGCCTGTTTGTGATTCCTAAAATCAAATTAAAACATGATTTTTTTTTGAGAACTAAACTGAGATGTGTGCAGTTAAGTGTTGCATATTAGATTTTTTTTGTTCGAGTGTTAATACAATCCAACTGTTCAGTCCAGTTTTTATGTTTTTGTGTTTTTAAAGCAATTAGGGCTGCAACTAATTGTTTTTCATTCTTGATTTGTTATTTTTAATTGTTTGGTCGATACAATGTAAAATGAAATAGTAGATGATGCCTATCAAAGATTTTAACAGCCCAAGGCGATGTCTTCCAGTGTTGGTTTAGTTCAACATAAAGTCCAAAACATATTCAATTCATGTTGTTGTAAAATGGATAAAGGCAGCTTATTTGAGATTATTGTTTTTGCTAGATGACTAATAGAAAAAAGAAAAGCAAATGGCACCAGTTCCAGCACTAAAACCAGAACCTTGCTTATAGTTCTAAATGTGCACTCAGACATACAACACGTGTCCGTGGTGGAGATGAGGATCCTCTGATGTGAAGACAGGGACCTCTGTCCTGCTGAATTAGTGTTGATGTTGCTGTGAAGATTCTTGCAACTCTTAAACACAGTACACTCCAAATGTGTAATTTGGCTCATGAGACACGTTTGGAGTGTACTGTCCCTTTAATCAAAGAATACATAATGTCACGAGTAAGCAGCAGCTTTACAATGACCAAATTCGCCAACAGTCCCATTAACAGTTCTACTTTTTACCATTAATATACATATAAAAACTGTTTGCTAAGTATTATAATAGCCCCTGTGCTGTGTTTCTAAATATTATGCAAAAACACACAATACTAAAGCAGCTTCAAGATGTTGAAGATGAGGTTCTTGTACAATTGTAACGGTTCTTTACTGAAACCCGCCAAGCTACTGTGAGCGTGGTGCCGCTCACCACCCAGAAAACAACCCCTGACGTCTTCTGCTACATTCCTCTTGTTTTTAAACTCATGTGTGTCCTGTGGAAACGCACGGGTTACGTACTGTTCAACTCGGCATCGACATCCAATCACAGTGAATGAAAACAGCGGCAGGTACAAGGTGATTCTGCAGGATATTGACATCCATGTAAATGTGTTTTTACCATGTTGTATATGTTGTAATAACCAATGGCAGTACTTCTCTTTCCATATTGTGAACTTTTTTTTTTTTTTTTTTAAACTTTAAATGTTGTCAGACACTTTGTGAGCAAAAGGTGTTTTTTTTTTTCTCTCTTCTTCCGCGATATTGTCTAATAATAATAAACGGCATTGAAAAGTGGATTTGTTTTCTGTGACATTTGATCGGTGCAGGAAGCAGATGTTACTCCTGACTGCCAGATGGGACCTGTTAGAGACCTTTACTTTAATACTTTATGTGAAATCAAGGGTAACATAACTTAAAAATACGGTCAACATCTGGCAGAAATAAAATACTATGTCTACTGCATTAGTTATTAATAAACACAAAGCCTTCAAACATGTCGTCAAACTAAGATGTGAAATCATTTAAAGCCATTAGAGCTCGGCACATCGTACACCGTATTTATTAATTCTCACCACAGTAGTTCAGAATAATAAAAACATTAGAATCATCAACTTCTATTTTCAGTCAGTCATCTACAGAAAATATGTACAGTCTATTATTAACATGCTAATATTTCAAATATGTACAACTTTAGTCTCACGTGTTAACCAACTTGTCATTTCATTCACGTTTATGCAGAAACAAAAATATCCTGGAGCTACATTTACACATGTACAGGAAGCTCTGCTGCTACAAATCACATGTTCTGCTCCTACTGTCTGGAAATACTGTTTACTGGTGTGTCTTTGTGATCTGATGATTTGGGGGAAAAAACCTTGCTATTAATATTAAAATAATATATGTCACTGTGTGTGTGTATATATATATATATATATATATATATATATATATATATATATATTTTAACTATATATTTTGTATCAAAGGTCACAAAGAGATAAATGCAGCCAGCAATCTAATTTGAACTCTTAAATACACTATATATACATATCCAGATAATAAACAGAGACGTTGACTTTGAAGGTAAATTTCCTTCCTTAGTATATAAAACTATTGCTGTGGTTTGTATTATAACGCTGAATTGCCAGGATTAAATACATAGTACATTCACGCCTTTTAGGGTACATCCTTACATTTTATTTGTAATGTTCTCGTCACAAGATGTACAGCTAATTTGATGTATTTTCTCTTTTAGTCTCAACGTAGAACTTTGTTCTCCATTAACTGGAATGTCAGAGTCAAAATAAAACACGTGCCTGTTCAGGAAAAAGCACAATTTCATGACCAACGTCTCCCTTTGAGCCTCTCTTGTCTGCTCTGTGCTCACACCAACAGTCACTCCCCATTAAACGGTCATTGTTAAAGTTTAGCTGTGACCGAACGGTACTTTTCACCATTTATTTGGAGGATTTTTGTCACCAAAACATGGACGAATTTAGTAACCTGCATCTCCTGATCCCAGCAATGGAAATAAGGGAGTAAAATCTAACAATCATCTCAACCTTCTTTCATAAACATTCTGTTTGTTTTAGATTCTGCCTGTATGTGTGTGTACTTTCACACGTGAAGCCTCGTAGTTGTGAGTCTGGTGTTATGTAATAATCTGTGAATTGTGCAGAGACTCTGTGGGTAATGTGCATTCTAAATAAACTTTTATTCTTTTTAACTTCAAGTTTTACTGGATGGACATTGATACGTTTGAGCCCCGGAACGACTTTTAAACGAGAGGAGAATGACAGACTTGTCTTGTGAAATATTAAATGGTTTAAATAGTCTGAAACCAAACCGGCATTAATCTGGAGAAATAGGACGATTGTGAGCAGCTGATTACTGTGAAGTTTGATTTCTGTCGCTATAAACCTTCCACCTCATTACAGTTTATTCGTCTTTCCTTCGTCGTGGATCGTTTCCGATCCACCTGATGTTCTACTGAAGTCAGATTAAGGTCTGTGTTTTGGCCGGGGGCTCCAGTTTCCGTGACAACGCAGTGAGGATGAGGTTGAATTTGTTAAAGCGATCCGATTGGTTGACCGAAGCTCCACGGCTTCCCCACAGCAGCCGCAGCTGAAAGTCTGTTTTAAACACCTCCAGCAGGTCTTCATCGCACGAGAACCCTGAGGACAGAAGGAACACAACTATCATGTTGTATCTTCTGTTTATTAAACGACAATAACACGCATGCGTGTCTTTGCGTATAACTTAGTTTTTTTACCATGTAAGATCTTCTGTGTGTTGGTCGTGTAGCTGTGTGCGTTGTGCGCGACGTCGCGTGCCGCCTCCAGGTGGCGCAGCATGATGTCGCAGCCCTGGTCGCTGGTCTCCCAGAGCTCCGCCCCCTCAGGTGTGGTTGACGGACGCTCCATCAATGTGAGGAGGGGCAGCAGGAGGGGGACGCAGACCACCGGAGGGGAGCAAGCTGCAGGAGGAGGACGAGGAGGGACGTCAGAAGTCAGAGCATATCTGTGATTGAGTGATTGCTTCCACACGGCTCTCAACATGGCGACGGTTCATTAACTCTCTGGTTGGGAAGTAAACTCCTAAACTGTGACTGTGACGTGTTTGTACTTTATACTGATAGTTTTAGAAACTCAAGACATGTTTGTGTTCAGTACCTGTGCCCTCATACAGATTCTTGTAGAAAGGCTTGAGAGTTTTCTCGTAGCCGATGGCGGTCTGTGTGTAGTTCCTTCGTAGAGTCGTCCATGTTTCCTCCAAGCGGCTGATCTGCAGAGAACAACAACACACACCAACTGTAAGTGTCTCAAACTACCGTCAAACAGAAAGACACAAGCATGTGTCTCTCTGTTGCATGAACACATTACAATTAAAATGCTGATAATTCATGATTCGTGGTTCAAACAAGTGTATATTTTTGTGTTTGATATCAAGTTTGTTTTGTGTGTGTGTGTGTGTGTGTGTGTGTGTTACCTGTGGCAGGTCCAGAGCTTTCATCAGGGCTGTGAAAGCGAACAGGTCGCCCACCGTGTCCTTCAGCTCCAGCGCCACCAGAATGATGCGATTTACGGTCAACGCCCGCTCGTCGACGCTGCCCGTGCATCCCAGAATATCCACGGCAACGCCTATTGCCATGGTGTGGTGCCTTGGAGACGGAGGAGACGGGGGGCTATCAACACCAGCTGACAGAAATTAAATGTCTGATTTTGTTTCAGTCGGTTTCTATAATCTGATCTTTCAGTGGCTGTCTTAAGGCTGACAGGAAGTACTGTGAGCAGGTATGAAACACTATCGTGTTTGTGCACATTGGTTCAGTTAAACCAGTTGTCTCCAATCTTTCTGTCTTGTAACCCCTTAAAATAAAGACAATTTGGAGCTGAAAGTACCCAGTATCTCACTAGAAAACACACAAAAAAAAAAAATGAAAGTAAATGAACTACAAAAGAAAGATATATACAGATATAGATAGATATATAGGTGTGTATATACAGAGCCCCCTTGCTCACAGTCTTTATGCTAAGCTAAGCTAACAGCCTGCTGTCTGTAGCCTCATATTTAGCATAAAGACATGAGAGTGGTGTCGATCTTCTCATCTTAAAGGACTTAAACTTCCTGGAAATGTGTTTTTGTATTTGTGACGCCATATCTTTTCTCTCTGTGTGTGTGTGTGTGTGTGTGTGTACCTTTCCATCAGGTCCAGCCTCAGCTGTCGACCGTGGGGAAGCGTCACCAGCTCCAGACCAGATGACACGCCCATCTGACCTTTAACCTCTGGAGTCACTCCGACTATCCTCGCAACCTGGAGGATGAAAAAGGTCAAAAAGAGGCCACCGATTACATTTAGTTGTTTTATTTTCCTCTCTTGTTCTTTCTATCTGCTGTGTGTGTGTGTGTGTGTTGATCAGGTTTAATTGTCGGCTCAGGGCTGTTTTCTTTCTGAGACACGAGGATCATTTTATTGCATCAGCTGCAGGATAGAAATCTAATTCTGTGACCTGTGTGGCACAGCACCAGTAAACAACCTCACATTGTTCCGTCTGTCTGCAGTAAAACAGGTTTTAATGAGGCACTCTTTTATGTTGTGACTAAAGGCCTTTATTAATGGTTCATCATTTATTTATTGATAGTAATAATCCATTAATAAGACCAACGTTTACCGTTCATCTCACCACACTCATGGTTTATTGGAAAGAAATGTATCAATAATGAATCATTAATGATTATCAGCCTTTATAAACTGCATTATTACCAAATACAATAGATAAGATCTACAGCATTAATCAATTATTAATTCTGTGATTATTATAGAGTCTGTCCATTAGAGAGCACTGGAAAATGTTAAACTTGAAAAGCAACAGTGCTTTTATAGAGAAGATAAAAATGCCATTCGATAATTACTCTGAATTAAATTGTTGAACTGTGTGTGCGTGTGTGTGTGTGTGCGTGTATGTGTGTGTGCGTGCGTGTGTGTGTGTGTGTGTGTGTGTGTGTGTGTGTGTGCGTGCGTGCGTGTGTGTGTACCTGGCAGTCGGCCATCAGCAGGTGTCTGGCGATACTGTGGTGATCGTGGCTGAGCAGCAGCTCCTTCGCTCTCTTCAGAACCACCATCTCCAGCGGTTTGTTCTCTGGCGGCAGAAGTCGAGATCCGAACTCTGCCGGCTGAAACGTCGACTCGGTCTCTTCGACCGGCCGATGAAAACTGCTCCTCTTGTCTTCCTCCTCCTCCTCCTCCTCCTCCTCCCTCCCTGCGTCCTCCTCCTCGTCCTCACTGGTGTTTTCTAAGGCGGCGATGGCGTGATGGTAGGAGCTTCTGTCCAGTCCTTTCCTCCCTCCCGCCTCCTCCTCCTCCTCCTCCCCCTCCTCCTCCTCCTCCTCCTCTCTCCATCCCTCCCCCTCTCTCCTCAGTCTCTCCACGTAGCTGCAGAGCGGAGGCTGAATTTGGAGGTCTGTGATGGGGTTAAGGGGATTCGATTCCTGCCACTCCAGCGGGCTGAAAGACCTCAGGTCCGCAGGGCTCGGCTGCAGCCGATCAGTTCGTCCTGTGTCTGCTTCTGGATGTGAACCCTGAAGAAGTTCAGCGGAGGACCCGAGAGAGTCTGCAGGGCGGCGCTGATGGAGGAACTTCGGGGGTTTGACTGGAGGTACAGAAGGGCCTCTGGTGGCTGTGGAATAACAGACAGAACATTAATATATGGTAGATCTACTGTCTATTAGATAGTCCATACATTAAATAATTGCGCCCACAGCAATTCAGAAGTTAATGTTAGTCAATAACTTAAGGCTGAAGGATACAGTACAATTAATAAGCTGTTTTTAAAAATTAGTATAGCAATGTTTCATTAATTGAAACGCCTTCATTAACGAGCAGCAGTTACTGCTACTGTTTCTTCACATTTAGACTTTAAGTTCAGAGGATGCTTCCTGATTTCTATCATATCTGCGTAACTTCCCTATCGATATTAATTTGTTCACAATCTTAATATCTGATAGTTAAAACATATTCACATTTCATGTTCATGTGGATGCATTTCAAACGTTACCTTCACTCCTCCATGTAGGCACCTTGCTGGGTTTGGGAGGCGGTTTGGGACACAGCTGGCTGTCAGAGCCCCGGATGGCCTGGCCTGTAAACACATAAACAATGTGTTTTATCAGACTCGACTGTTTATTCTTGGAACCAAATTGAATCAGTAAATGTCATGATTCCCTTTGTGTCTGTATTAAAGATCGTATCTCCTTTCTGTGGCAGTGAACCATATAACACCACAGTCTGTCTTTTATTGACTTTACTTTCAATTTAATTTCCGATTTGCATGCAAACAATAGCAGGGGCGAAACAAAGGAGAGTGCCTAAACCTACAGGTGTGTGTGTGTGTTTTTGATTTTACAGATAAGACTGTTGTACTGTTGCTTCAGGCATTTTTAAAACAGAGGCCACAAAGCTGTTCTTCTTTCCTTCCCGACACTAATGTATTATTATTATTGTTTTATTATCATTACAGTGGATGGTATGGTTACTGAGCAGCATTCAGGTTCACAGGTGATCTTCAGGTTGTGCAGTATTTATGAGCTTTCTGTTGCATAGAGGCTTTGTCATCAAGCAGATTTGCGTAACGCTGGATTTTATAGCTTCCAGATCCACTGACCTGCCAGAAGCTCTGCAGACCTCCGTGGCACAGAGGGGCTCAGCGCCGGCTCACTGCCCGTCCGAAAGACCGGAGACTTGGGGTTCGGGCTCGGGAGGAGAGGATCAGGAGACCGCTGGGGCTGCGGTTTGGATCCTGAGGAGACGAGGAGCCGACAGGAGAGGACAAGAAGAGGATGTTACAGAAAGAGGAGAGTAGAATAAAGGGGGAAAGGTGTGTAAACCATGAGAATATATGAAAGAAAAAAGGATGAGTGGAACCGAGAAGAGCGATACAAATTAGTTGATTCTATCTCACAGACCACTTTTTAATACAAAAAAAACAATAAAACATAAAAAAAACAAAAAACAACTTAGATGGAATTAGACGATCAAACTTGACTATCTAGAGGAAGTAAAAGTCGTAACAAGGTTTCCGTAGGTGAACCTGCGGAAGGATCATTTCTCCAGCATGTTTTCTAACAAACGCTCCTGTCGAAAGGAAAAACTTTTTGAAAGCGTGCAAAAAAAGACTGACGTCTGCCTGCAATAACTCAAAGCAGCACACATCTTTGATCCGTCTCTTCACTTGGTTGTGCACAGAAAAAACTAAATGAGTTGAAGCCAATCGCTGCATGAAATGGGGTGAGGTTGTCAGATGGTTTTGGATGGACGGTCTCCTTCGTCAGAGAAGGGTATTCCGACGGCGTCGGTCAATCTGACAGGGACTTTATGTGAAGCATACTAAGGCCTTCAGAGTCTCGCTCTCACTCACCGAGAGGCAGGTAGCTTTCCGATTGGTGCGCCTTGAGCGGGCCTCGCCTCTCTGGGACCTGATTGAGACTTGCTGGTTGGCTGCCACAGCGATCCTTCAACCTGAGTGAAAGGGGGACGTGGGGTAACGGATATCAATAAACATATTGAAACATAAACACAAGTAAAGGAGAAATAAATCAAACCTATTTCAAATATGAATCAAAACGTTGACACGGTGAGAATAACAAGTAACGTATTAAAGAGGAAGAAACAAAGACAACACTGTTTTTCTGAGTTTGTAGACCTCCTTTCTCCTGTTTTTCTTTCTCCTTCCCTATACTCCTCCTTTATTCTCCGTCTCTATGTTCCGTTCTACTCTGGACCACATATTCGTCTTTTCCTCGCTCCCTCTTTGTCTCTTTACTCAGACAGATATGGACTCCGTACATTAAGCTCTATGCACTCATGAGATGACACACCGCTTGTTCCTTTCTGGCTGAAAAGTCAAACATACACCATGTCTGTATTTATAGAGGGCTTTAGATACATATGGAACATGTCGTATATATACAGCCGCCTGCGTGGGTGATGAATGTAAACATCTTGAGGCTACGTGTTAAAAGCAGGAAGGGATTTAAAGGAATGATTTAAGTCTTTCACAACATGTGAGAGAAAGAGAAACATAGACAGAGAGAGTGACTGAGTAAAGGTTGGTCTCCATTATTCAAATGTAGCAGACAGCATGTTATTTGGTCTGTAGCCCACTACCCACTTTCAGTAACAGGCTTGTGTCGCTTGGAGCTGAAACAGTCTTTAACGTGGTATTTGTAAAGTCTAACAAATTACACATGCTCAATATGCGATTGTCTAGAAACAACAAACACGACTGAACCTTATCGGCGTTAATCACTGTGTTTGTGTGGGTTTCTGGGAGAGCACCAACCTGAGCTGGCTGCCTCGGCTCATGCCGTTGTCCCGGCAGTGTGTGCTGTGTTGCACGGTGTGCGTGTTGTCCTGTGTGTGTCCGTTGGTAATGTTGAGGCTGAGGCGCTTCCGACTCTGCCGCTCCTGCGTCATGAGCGCCTCTCGGTGATGGCTGGACAGGCCGTACTTTTCCTCCAAGCAGCGTAGCGGCAGCCCTCTGTTGATTGGCTGGAAGACGATGGCTCCCACCACCTTAAATGCACGGAGAGAAAAAGACAAACTACAGTAAACTCGACGTGTTTTCTGCATCAAACGTTCTCTCTTCGACAGTGGAATATTACGTTTTTACATTTTACATTACTACCAATCACAAATAAATCTTTGGATGGCATTTGTTATCTAGTTAATGTCAGCAGAGGAAGGTAGTGCACACAAAGCTTTCTTTATGTGTCTCCAATTAGTAAAACACACTAACTTCCATATATTACTGACCACCAACAAATGAACCGCGTCAAAGAGCCTATTAAAACAGTTCATGTGTAAAATATTTGACCAAACCCACCTGGGAGACAGACTTTCTGTTGCCGACATAGTATCGTATAAGTGCAGGGACGTTGTCAAACCCTTCTCTCTCCAGCCGGTACTCGACTCTGGAGTAGGCTTCGTTCAGCATCACGACCTGAAGGAGAAATGTTTAAAAAACAAAAAATTATTCATAACTGTTACTTTCAATTTTTCTTTAAATAACTTTAAATGTGAAATGATTCTGCAGAAAACTGCAAATACTAGAACAGAATCTAAACCTAATACACTGTTTTCAGTCTGGAGCTTTCAGCTTCTTGCTTTGATTTTATAACTATTATTAAAATAATATGAACTATCACTGAGAAGATCCCCAAATCAGACTTGGCAGGAAATCTTTATGATGGAGGGAATGTAGAGCATTGTAACATGTTTGCTGTCTTCAGTGAAGCCAAGACAAACAAACACTTGGTCTCATAAACCATTTACCACCGTACCAAAGTATTACAATACACACCTTTAACAGTACACGTAGTTTTACCTTCTTGTTGATTTTAAAGTGCTGGGCAGCATTTCGCCACTGGCAGGTCAGAACATAACTTCCTGGACTGGACAGCGAATCACGGATCAGGAAATCTCCGTCACGCTGCACCAAGTTTTCTGCAACCTGGAGCAACACAGAAGATTACATATGGGTACACACACACACACACACAGACACACACACAATCACACGCAGGGACACCGTGTGTGTTTATAGTGCAAACATTTAATTAAATCTAATAATGGTCGGCTGTTATACTGTTTCGTTCTTTATGAGCTCAGTGCCGGCTGGTTTTCAGCGGTTACATAAGACAAGAAGATATTTAAAGCCTCAACCTCTTACAGAATTTAGAAAATAATCAGATTTTTACATTTATGTTTTATAACTTAAAGCTCATATGGGAAATGTGCTCTTTGACCCATTTTAAGCCCATAAAGATGTACAGTAGTTTCAGCCGTCAGATTAATTAATTAGTTTAGACTTTTCTTTTTTGTCAAAGTATTTGTTTTGACAGGTGACTAATAAACTGTAAATGGTTTTTTTTATTTACTTCCTCATGCACACACACACACACACACACACACACACACACACACACACA